AGTAGAAGTAGAAAGAGGAAAAAAAATATTAGAGTATTATTGATCTACATATCAAGTTGGCAGTTGCACAGAGTACAGTGTGGAGTTGTTTTACACCTCTTGGGTTTTTCTGAGATGCAGGCGACTTATTTAGGCCCTTTCAGTAGAAACACGGGGGTACAAAAATGGAATTTAAGGAAATTTAGGGTGGCTTTTGCTGGTTTCAGGGCTGCAGCTAGACAAATATATCACAATGCATGATTTATTAAACGAATTTAGTCATTTTCTTTTAGACAAATTGTCTGCAAGCAGATGGGGGGTTATTCATTTGTCTCCTGTACAGCCTTTTTTGCTAAATATTCTGTGTGAAAAATACCAACCTCTGATCTAATCATAAACTCTTCAGTAGGAGTTTTCCCTTAAGTATTCCATGGTGTCATTCAATATTCAAGCTGTATGATTGCTCACCTATTTCATAAGATGTCATTTCAGTATAAACTGCGCCGGCCTGAACTATTTTTTTTTTTTTTGGTAATAAGTGGAAAAACCTTTGTTTATAAACCAAAACTTCACCTTGCAAAAAATCATACAAGCAAAACTTTGGTGTCACGGATATTCATAGAAGTCAGGTAGGCATATGAGCACGGAAGAAATTAAATTGTATTTAAGTCATCAGAATGAACCTGAATAATTTTCTTCCTATTCATCCATCTCAATTCATCACCCACTGGGAGTGGCTGTGGTAAACTAATGGGCTTTACTTCATCGTGTTTGGCTTTACAGCTCAGGCTATAGATTTAGCACATGCAAAGTCATCTCGTTAACTTATTTCCCCCACTTATTTCCTTTCTTCTTTTGAGTGATGCTTATATATTTGTGCTGTCAAGTACTGAGCAAGACAAAATTAACCTCTAGGGTTAAATGACTTCAGTATAATCTGATGCAACCTGGCAATCAAAATGAATTATTACGTTTCAGTAGCATATGAGTTCAGACAGACCAGCTCTGGAGGAATGAAAGAGGAACTTTCACAAATGTACCCGTACCAAAATAAAACCTGGAACCTCTGTAATTCAAGATGAATAGGCCAAGTTTAAGAAATAATGGTAGCTAGGCAGAGCAAGTCTATATCTCAGAATGCAAACCAAGCCTGAATAGCAGTCAGCCACAAAATTACTAGCAGAGGATTAAAACAAAATGAAGAGAGTGAAAAAAATTGTAATGCAGCAATAGCAAATGAAGCTAAATAAACTGAAGATGCATCCTGGAAAATGTAGCAAGTAAGGGCAGTCGCAGCTTTATTGTTCTTCTTCTTTACTCCAGCAGTCACCGCTGCTTCCCTATTGTCTTAGTATTAAAGTAGACACGTGTCTCTTTATTTAACCACCCCCCCTTGCACTTCTACATTGCACTTCTATTGAAGGAAACAAGCAGCTGCCACAAATTAACCCCCTGCCCTCCCACCAGTTGCCATTCGGATTTCCGCCCCCTGCCCAATCTGCTGCTCTGCTGTCTGCTTCCTGCCTGATCTGCTTCTCTGCCTTCTGCTCCCCGTCCTACCTGTGGCTGTGCTGGCTGCCCCTTCCCAGTCTGCTGCAGCGCATACCACACGTAAGAGGCTGCCCATGCACGCCGCTTGTGGCGTACGTGCTGCATGCGGACAGCACAGTGAGACAGGGCATTGTTCATCCTTCTCAAGTACGTCAGGGTGGGGAGGAAGTTGCATGAAATTAGATTGGAATCACTCAAACCTCTGTCCTTCCAGTAACACCTCCAGTACGTGCCAGCTGAGGATCTGTCCCTATAGATCAACTTCAACTGAAGCCCCTCAATCCTGGCTGGTGCTGAATGCTGCCTGAATGGGGCTGATAGCCATCAACTCCAAATGAATAGAAGGGATAACATCTTCAAAGGTGCTTTGCACTTAACAGCACTGACACCCACTGTTATGGCAAAGTCTTGTAGAGAGCTGCAACCTTCCAATCAGGTATTATGTTCAAGACAAAAAATCACTCCTACAGAATTCTGTGGGCCCAAAAAAAAGCCTTTGGAAAAGATGCTGTTCTCTCAATAATGTTATGGGCTGGCACAGCAATTTCTATAAAGCTCTGTTGGCTTCATCCCTGGTACATTCCCTAGGGGCTTTGCACAAAGGACCACATGGGATGGGAGCATGTAGGATGTGACCATTGAGAATAATAGCTGTTCAGCCTCTCCCTTCTATTTTGTAAAAGTTGCACTGATGATTTGCTTCGAATGAGTTTACCCTGTTTGATTTTACAAGTAGTAAACCCCATAACAGACCAAAGTTGGGGATTCTCCATCATTGCATATTCAGTCTCTCGCCAAAGGCTACAGGGGAACGGAGTCAGCCCCAAAATGGATGTTGAGTAATTGCTTTAGGACCATCATGAGGTCACTTTTTACATTTCTCTTAACTGCCATGATTTGAGATGTGGGCACTGCTACATTTTGCTCCATTGAAATTACATGATCCCTTGATTTCAAACAGCGCATTCAGCTGCCCAAGCAAACCCAGGGCCCATCAACTTGTCATCCCTGGCATGCAGTGCAACGTTAATCTAATCCAATGGGAAATGATAACCAGGGCGGATTTAGTAAGAGACAATCCTGCTTAACTAATCTCCTTGAGTTCTTTGGAGCAGGCTGCTGACAAGATTGATACTAGAAGTGTGCACATGACATAATCTAATGGATTTTTCAAAAGGTTTTTGATAAATTTCCATTTGATGTTCCTCCGCTCAAACTGCGTGCTGCAGAGGTTCCCAATTGGGCATGAGAATCGATGAAGGACTGGCGACAGGGGGGGAAACCAGAGGAATTGAAAGAGGTACTATATGTATTGGAGCTCAAATTATTTAGAGACGTCCCACTGTTCTTCTCCTCTACCAGGCAGACCCAGGACAAGGCGCGATCTGTATTTGCTAATGAAAATTTACTTAGGACAGGTGCAAAAGAAAAAATCGAGCAAAATACCATTATGGGCACTACTAGAGGGCAAAACTAAATTTAGAATAGCATACAGCAAATAAGATATTTTTGCTGTCGGATGTGACGTAATATATGCTGGTTGCAAGTACTGGTAGAGGTAAGTGTCCAGAGAATGGTAGCAGGTAGCACAATAGTACTTTACAAGAGCTTTTGAGCTGAACAATAAAATAGTCATTCATTATAATTAGCACACTTCTTCTTTTATGCATGTTGCAAGCTTGGTTTTCAGCAGTGGTTTGTGACCACAGTTTGGGACAGAATTTCCGTTTTGGAACGGGGCCAGTAGTACTCATTGTTTTCCCAGGGTTTCATTTGCCTTGTGCCAATCTAAATGGCATTTTGCAAGTGGTAATGGGAGCTTTTGAAGGGTGAGCGCTTTTGAAAAATTGGCAACTCCATTTATGCACCTAAATCATAGAAAATGAGGGTTGGAAGGGACCTCAGGAGGTCACATCTAGTCCAACCCCCTGCTCAAAGCAGGACCAGCCCCAGCTACATCATCCCAGCCAAGGCTTTGTTCAGCTGGGCCTTAAAAACTTCCAAGGATGGAGAGTCCACCACCACTCTAGGTAACCTGTTCCAGTGCTTCACCACCTTCCTAGTGAGAAAATGTTTCCTAATAGCCAACCTAAACTTCGCTTGCTGTAACTTGAGACTGTTGCTCCTTGTTCTGTCACCTGCCACCACTGAGAACAGATGAGAGCTTTTAGGCCATTAAAGTGGAAAATATTAACTGTGCAAGATCTTTGGTCTTATACATGATAAATCAAGTGGTACATAGAGAGAAATGCGGCTCAGGTGCTATAAGGTGCAAAAACTGGACGAGTTGCATGCAACCCACTAGAATTAACTACCAGGAAAGGCCCAGGCAAAATTACCAGAAAAGCTTTGACAAATCAGACAAAGGCAAAAGCAGAAAGAGGAAAAATTCAGTAACATCTCTGAAGAAGCAATAAGATTGCATTTTGGGAAAACTGGGTAACCCAAGACATCTAATATTAAGGGGCCGACTTTTTCACCTGTGGTCGTTACAATTAGCAGTTCAGATTATTATGACTGAAAGGAATGAGCAAGTAGAAGGTTTTGTCTGTTGTTTCAGTTTGTCGAATGTCTCGTTTTGATGACACTGTCAGTTTCTCTTGGAGGCTTGGTGAGTTTCGGGGGGCGGGGTGAGCTTTATTTATTAATGAGTCCAATTTATCAAATAACAAATGTAACATTTAAAGATGCCTCCCATCTTCTAAACCAGTGGTCTCCAAACTTTTTTGATCGTGCACCCCTAGCAGTAAAAGATTTTTGAGCATGCACCCCAATATATGTATATTTATATAAATAGAAATAGAAGTTCTAGTATTTTCTTCCTGCACCCCAGTGAATCGTCTTGCGCACCCCTTGGCGTGCGCGCACCCCACTTTGGAGACCACTGCTCTAAAATAGACATAAAAACGTATTTATCTTCTATCCACAGAGCTGCCTTAAGTCACTGTCCACAGGAGTCTTGTGTTCTTTTCTTCTCTTCCTTTCAGTCTCTGGCTGTTCCTTTATGTTTCAGTTGTTAAGCTTTTTTGTTCCTTCCTTTCTACATAATAATTCATTCCCTCTTTTTCCTCAGTTCTCTGCATAATAACAATCTCATTATTTCCTACTCTTCCCTGTTTTTCAGTTTAAAATTTATTCCAAATTTGTTCTTAAGTGGTAGCTCATAGAATTTGTACTCTCCTTTAATGTTCAGAAAAAAGTTAGTTGCAGCTTCCTTTGGTGACATAGGTCTTTCAGACAGCAGCAGGAGAGAGAAAATCATTTCAAGAGGAGGACATGGGATTAAAACCACATGTGATGAAGGGATGCAGGCAGTATCTGAATGTGCTTATAGCTTGGATTTTACTTGTGAGTACCTTCCTGGAGCCCTGAGGCCCTGTTCATTAGGCTGACTTCAATGCCAGCTAGTGACTTGTCCCTAAAGTCTTCAGAGCTCCTGAAGAATATTACCTCTTCTCTTTCATTTGCAGTATTCAGGGGAGGTGCCCGAAAACCGCGTGGAAGTTGTAGTCGCAAATTTAACGGTGATGGACCGGGACCAGCCCCACTCGCCCAACTGGAATGCCGTGTACCGCATCATCAGCGGAGACCCCTCGGGCCACTTCACCATTCGGACGGACCCCGTCACCAACGAAGGCATGGTAACTGTGGTGAAGGTAGGTGACTTCAGCAGGAGCCAGAGCAAATCAATTTGTGTGGCTATCTAATCGAATGACTCCCCAAAGGAAGCCCAGAGGGTCTGGTGTTGTTTCGTGTCGTCTTTGCTTAGGATTGTCAGTGTTTGAATCTCCATCTGCCGTTTCCCCTGTCTCGGTGGTACAGGTGACGTGCAGGCTGCTACTTCAAGCTTAAACCACTCAGCCTTGGCTCACCGCCCTCTCATTTCCTGGCAATCCCACCACAGACTCCCACAGATGCTAACACAATGAAGTCAGGGCCCACTTCTGCTTGCCTTCGTGCTGCATGCACACTAAGCTTGGACTCTGTAGTTGCTCGCAGACTGACGTGCTGTGGGACTTGGAGTGCACCTTGCTCCCCGTAGGTGGGAGAGTGCACAGCTGCATGTGAGAGAGGCAGCAGGACAGCTCAGCATGGGACCTCAGTAACTCATCTCTTATGCAGAGAGGGTGTGGAGAAATAGCAGCCTACAGCTGAGCCTCCAGAAGGAGGGCTGAGCTTGTCAGTAGAGGAGGGAAGAGGCAGACGGCTGGTACAGGGAACATCTGACTCGGGTACCGTTGCCTGAGAAGTTTGGGAACTCTGATACTAAGCAAATAAATGCACTTTGTCGACCCGATCCTTAGCTATGCTGAAGCCCAGAGATGCTTCACCCGTTTATACCAGCCAGGGATTTGGCCCAAAACACCCTTCGAGAAACCTGCCCGTGATATTCAAACTACCGTCTTATTCCACTACTTGTTGCTTTCAGCGTTATGGCGGAAGAGGCCAGGAGTAACAGGTGTAGAAATCTGCCTGATCTTGGCATTCGCATTTCCTAATGCTTTCTGTTCCATAGCTTGAATCCTGCAGGTACGCGGAACAGATATCAAATTGCAGCGCCCTTCATCCCTCCAAAAGGACACAAGTTTATCTTCATTTAAGGGTTTGCTTCACGTTCCCATACAGAAGACCAGCAAACCAGGCAGTGAATGCCTCTGCATTTATTGTATGCAGCCGGGACACAACTGAATTCATTCAACATTCAGTGAATCAGTTACCAGATAAGATTCCTATGGATGTTCTCACTGACTATCAAAAAAGTAAAGGAAGCCTGAATAGGCAGCTGTGATCTATGGGAACTTGCCCTACACGTTCTGTGCGCTGCACCTGAAAAGAATTATTTATACTGCTGAGAACAAAGCCTTTCCCTTTTTGCAGCCAGTGACCTTCACTTAACCAAAAGTTTTTAATACGTTATAATGCGGCACAGAAGTTTAAAGAGCAACACAATTAAAGAATGACTCTGCAGGGAAAAAAACACTCCCTTGTAGCTAAGAAATTGCAGTCACTCTTCATACACACAGTTTGAGTATTCAGAAAAATGACATTGGTGAAATGCCATTGAGATTACGTTGGCAGGAATGTGTGAGCTTGCGAGCTTGTCCTGTTTTCTGCCCCTTAGGTTATATGTGTGTGTGTGTTTGCAGATGCCACTTTGCTGAAACTTTAAGGGAAACATCATCTTACCTGCTAGATGATATTGCATCAGGGTTTTTATGTTAATCGCTCTTATTGCTCTTGAACGATGACTGGCAGCCTTCTCCAGTACATTAGAGTGCCCCTCCAAGTTTCATTGGTGGTGGGTGTGTGCCTGTGTGTGTGCGACCTGTGTGTGCACGGGTGTGCGTGATGCTTAAAGGACAAAAGCTAAGCAGGTCCAACGTGAAACACTTGGGGTTTTTTTTCCACATCAGCAGCCAATCTGCAAATACTTGTAACTTCCCTGCCCCCATCCTAATCGAGGCGCGTGTCAAGTGTCATGACTGCAGTTTTAAAGCTGCATCAAAGTGAAAAACAGGGGATTTATGTGATCACCCTTGCTGCGCCAAGACGCTTGCATAATGAACCAGCCTTTATTCAGAACTTGCAGGCGGAAAGCAGGACACATTTGTCAAGACACCCAGGGTGCCAGGGTTGACTTTCCATTCCTGAGTAACCAACAGTGATCATGATGCAAAGAACCACAGGGAAATGGCATTATGTCACATTGAGCTCAAAGCCTGAGATTGCATTGTAATTGTCTACAGTGTCTGACCTCCCCTGATCCTTCTGTGTGTTCTCGTTTCATCTAACTGGAAGACCGTCTCTCTCGTCTATCGGCCTCCACCGCGAGGCAAGTTTGCTCAAAATGATCTATGCTTTGTTGTATATCATGGTCCCCTTAGAGATGATTGGTGCCTGTGTCTCCAAGGTATTGTTGTTAGTATTGCATTTATTATGCTCTTTATAGCATTGTGTATAATAACATGTCTAATATCGCATATCATAAGGCATGGATCATTTTGAGAAAAGCTGCCTCATTATGGAGGCAGATCGGTGAGAGAGACACCGGGAAAGATGTGTGACCAAACACTGCCAGGATCCATGCAACATCACCAGGATCTCCTCCTTCCTCCCAGAACCGTTAGCCACGGCTGCAGTTGAGCTTGCAGATCTTGGATTGGCCTCCTCAGTCATCTACAGATGCACTGATGACTTCCCTGTTTACTAGAAGACTGTCGTCCTCGTATTGATGGACTGCTCCAAGTGGGAGACATTTTTGATGCTCCTTGGCACCGAGAATGAGCATTATTGCTCGGGATTCAGTGCCCGTGCTGGGGAAGGGAAGCCTGTTAGGTTTCCACTTTATTTCTGCCTTGTTCTTAGTTAAGAGTTCAGGGCAGGCAACTCTCTGCAAACTGATTGCTGTGGCTGGTCAGGGATCCTTACTCACGGTGCATGAGTTGTCTCCTCTGTTGGTCTCTGATTGGATCAGGGAGACTTTTTGAGCAAGAGAAGAACGAGGAAAGCCAGAGAGTGAACTTCCTACTCACGGTCATTAGTCTGCAAGGTGCCATTCTCCCCTCCGTCCTGCCTTCCCCTGACTTCAGACTAAACCCCTAACTACCTCTTTAATCATGAGGCATTAAGCACCCATGGTGCTCCCATGAAATCAATGGGACTAATGGTGTAATTCCTCACTGTTGTAAGTAGAGAGGTTCACATCCTGGTCTGCAGTGAATAACAAATACAATGCAAAGAAGGATGTGAAGAACACCCACCTCCACCTAGATCTTTCAGCGCACATTTGCAAAAGGGCAGACAGGCACCCAGCCCCCAAAGCCATTCTCAGTTCAAGTTAATCTTTGCAAAGGCTGTTTTTGCAGTCTTTAACCAGCCCTCAGCAAAGCCACATCTGCTTTTCTAGCTTGATCACTGAAGGGTAGAATATCATTTCTGTTTTTCATATAATTTCCAAACCATTTTCATAATGGAGAAAGACCCGGGCCTCCGAAGCAAGCCTGGCGAATGGGGAGAGAGCCACTTCCCACTCAGCTGAGACACGGCAGAGTCTGAAACAATCTCCAAGAGCAGCAGTGGATGCCCTGTGGGAGCTGGCTCACGAAAATGTTATTATGGCTCAGAGACAGGGATTTACAATGCAGATGCTTCCGTGGTTATTTGTCTCACTTTGGGCAGCACAGGAACATAAGGGAAACGCATTCCCTCTGGTTAAAGGTGCCTTCAGAAGAGAACACGTTGCCCTCTGCTTTATCCTGCTGTATCTGGGTAACATGAGGCTGTGTGCTCAAGCAGCATGGTTCAGAGGAGGTCTTTGCAAGGTGGTGCTTCAGAGCTGTTTTGGCCAGCCTCAAATTATGCATGCCCAACAAGTTGCGGGGGCATGCCTCATATCAGTAGTGCAGTCAGGGACCTGGGAGAGCCCATCTGCCCAGCTGGCATGTGCAAATGTAGAAGTTCCCTCTGCAGCTCCACACCTGCTCTCATGCACGCAAGGCGTTGTGCACATAATAAGGTGGAAAACTATCTGCACTGCAGGCTGGAGTGGTGGGCTGAGATACCCAAACCGGCTCTGTGTGAGCCAGCAGAGTGACTAGTAGCAGTCTGGCTGCAGCAGCTTGGGCCTCTGTCCAGCCAAGGCAGGGATCCTGTGGGTAAAAAGAGGATGTGGTGATGTAATTAAAGACTGGATCATAATATAGACATGCAAGGGGCTGAACTAAGGCTGCACAGGCAGCCTTTACTCTGTCTTGCAAGTGTGTGGCATTGCTACCTTAATCCCGTTCTTTTAATGCTTTTTCTTGTGTATGCCATTTAATATAAACACACGACTTCCTCTCTAGAAAATAAAAGACAAGGGCCATATGCAGACGAAACGAGGGGTGTGTGTGCACAACACTTTAAAGCGGGCTAAATGCTTTTGCGCCGCTTTAATGGTGTCGGGGTTTGCATGCCTCGGTGGCGTATTGCGCATTAATTCCAGCCGCTGTAGGAAATTCGGCGGCGTAATGAGCCTTAAATGACTTGGGGCTCAGCAAACTAAAACTCCCCTGAGGTCCAAGGCTCCATGCAGCTCTGCAGGAAGCCCTGCAGGCAGCCTGGCAGCAGCCCAGGAAAACAGGGTCCACCCAAAAAAAGTGGCGAGCCTGATCTTTTTATTCCCCTCCCCACCCCAGAGCCTGCCTGCCTGCCTGAGCTGCACGGGGGCCCAGTGCTTCCCTCCACGGCTGCAGTGCCCCCCAGGACTACCCGAGTCGGGTGCCCGTGGGCGAGTGCCACCTCGGGAGGAAGCACCAGCCACCCCCCCTGCAGCCCAGGGACCGCTCTGCCCACTGGCAGCTAGCCCTCCCCTCCTCTCCCCGCCCGAGAGGCAGGTAAGTCAGTGGGGTGTGTGCACGACACAGGGGTTTAATCGGCCCTAAATTGAAGCGGTGTTTTTCAAAACCCACCGGTTCAATTTAGGGCCCCCGTTTTGTCTACACATGCCCATAGGTGACAATCAGAGTCTGTCTGAGACGCATTCTCATCCTGGATGTAACAGATTTCTAAGTCTTTGCTCCTGCTGTCAGCCTAATCGATATGTAGCATTTCCAGTGACACGAAGATGGAGCGTGTTAGTACAGTGCGAAGAACTGAGCTCTGGAGGGAGCGAACC